AGTATCCTTAGGGCATGAGGTGCATGAGCCTTTTCTGCAAAGATGGATATGGACCGGGACCCACCCGAATCCACCTGGAGACGTGGACGAACTGACAGAATCATTCCATGTTCCTCGGCACCATCTTCTGGACACCCCTGCAATTAGACACACGTGCTGCCCTCCAGCCTGACACTGGAACTACACTTCCCAGAAAGCTGTGCTACAAGCTCCTCTTTGTCGGTGGTCAGAGCATCTGGGAAATGGAGTCCGCTGTCTGCACAGCGCAAAGACTCCCGGGAGTTGTAGTTCGCGCTAGGTCCGCGCAGGCGCACCTTCCCACGGCTGTCTTTGAGCTGCTCTTTTGTGGCTGTCGCTGGGCTTTTTTGGGAGGGCGGTCAGTCCCAGGACCTGTCTTCGAAGGCCGGGCTCCGCGCCCTCTAGTTCACAGCAGCTGAGCCCGAAGCCGGCCTGAGTGTGTGGGGCCCGAGTGATGGGGTGTGGGGCGCTTGCTTAGCCTGCCTGACCCCGACCTTGAGGGGGGGGCGTAGGTGGCTCCGCGTGCGTGATTGTGCAGCCGGGACTGCGTGTGCGACCCCCCGGGGCTCCCCTGCAGGCTGTCGCTGAGCTCCAGGAGGCTGCAGAGCTGCCCACACCTCCGGGGAATGCTGCCGAGTGGCGGCGCCATGGAGACCCCTGCCTGGAAGCCCCAGGAGACAGGTACAGCGTCACTCTCTGTCTGTGGATTTGTATTGGAAGAGACTGAAGGTGAATTTTCCTGCTGTGAAATTCTATACGGAAAACCCAGAAATGAGAGCTGTGTGAACGTTGATGAATCTTACCTACCCAAAGTTAAGCAAAAGAGTAACACACAAGACGATTTCGTTTATACCAAGGTCAAACACTGGCAAAATAGAAACTTGTTTATGGGTGCAAGGTTGTGGTAAAACTGTAAAGTTAAGCAAGGAAAGTATTACTGTAAAAGCCAGAAGGGTGTTTAGCTGGGGAGTGTAGGGAGGTGAGGGAGAGAGATGGTAAGAGAAATAGACAGGGCAGGGGCTGTTTCCGGGACACCATTAGTATTTATTTCATGACCTGTGTCAAGAATTCCATGGATGTTCTCTATACAACTGTCCGGTCCAGTGTAAGGTTCTTGCACGCACTGTATGTGTGTTTCACAATCAAAATCTTTTAAAGATAACCACACACCCATTAGGATGGCTATTATAAATCAAAAACAAAAACAAAAAACCCAAAAAATAACACGTTAGTGTGGATGGGGAGAAATTGGGACCTTTACACTGTTGGTGAGAATGTAAAATGGTGCAGCCACTGTGGAAAACAGTATGGAAGTTCTTTAACTTTTCTTTAAAAAATTAAAACTAGAACCACCATATAATCTCTGGGTATGTATCCGAAAGAATTGAAATCAGGATCTGAAAGAGATACTTGCACACCAGGTTTATAGCAGCACCAGTTATAGCAAGAGGTGGAAGCAACCCGTGCGTCCAGCCACAAATGAACGGCCAAACAAACCGGTATATCCATACAAGGCACGATGGTATTCAGCCTTAAAAAAGGAAGTTTTGACACATGGTACAACATGGATGAAGCTCCAAGACATTATGCTAACTGAAATAAGCCCCATCTCAACAAACAGTGTCTGATTCCACTTATATAAAGTCCTTAGGGTAGTCAAATTCATAGTGGAATGGTGGTTGTCAGGGGCCGGGGGAGGGTGTGCGGAAAGCTGTTGTTAAACGGGTGCAGAGTTTCAGTTTTGCGAGATGAAAAGTTCTGGAGATCGGTTGCACAACAATGTGAACATACTTAACACTACTGAACTGTACTTAGAAATGGTTAAAATGGTGAATTTTTCTGTTACGCGCATCTTTACCACGATTTTTAAAAACTTAAAAACATTAGTAAAATAATAATTAAGGTGTTAGTGCGAACAAAAGTTGCAAAGACCCTGGGAGTCCACAGAGCACTGGATCGCCTGGGCCTTTTCATGCCCTGATGGGTTTCCTTTCTTGAGTTGGGGTTCTGACAGGCTCCCCTGGTCCCGGAAGGGCATCTCTGAGAAGCCTGCTCCTAACACCCCTGCCTGGGGTTTCTCTTCCTTCTGCCTGGGGTGCTTGAGTCAGGAGCTCAGAGTCAGAAGTTCTTCCAGGTATTTGGAGCAATGATCCAAAACCTGGATAACAGGACACTGTCTAGCTATGCATCTGTCCCCTGAGTACTTGTGTGGGGCACTGTGTTGGGGGGCCTGCCCTCAGGGCCGTGGTCCTGAGTGACCAATGGGAGAAGCAGCTGTGGCTGGGCCTGGCATACCTAGGCCCACAGGCAGAGGGAATAGCCTGTGCATATCCAAAGACAGTGACAGTGTCTAGGCAACTACATAGGCCATGAGGAGGGTCTCATGAGTCATGCTGAGACTATCTCTGCTTTATTGTAAAGAATCATCCAGTACAAGTAATGCACACGTGCTGGGGAAGTGTTGGAAAATCCAAACAAGCACCATGAATATTAACCCCCCGAGTCCCAGACAGAGCTCCTCTTACCTTTTTGCAAACATTCCTGTGGGCTTTCCCAGTCTGATTATGCTAATTATCTCGGTAATTACGTAATGTAATACTTTGAGATTGGTAAGTCCAGTGGCATATTCATTCATATAGGATCAATACTAAGCAAGGATCGAAAATGATCTCAGATGTAAGGTTGGTAGTTACCAATTTGAAAGTATGATCTCTCTCTGTTAATAAAACCCTCTTGTCCCACTTTCCAGCAACCACCCTGTTCCCCTTTTTTGCCTTTATACCAGAACTCCTCCAAAAAGTTGTTTCTGTCTGCTGTCCCTAACTGCTCTCCTCCAGGTCCGTCTTGAACCCACTCTAAGCAGGCTTACACCCCTACAGTGTACCCCAACTGTGCGTGTCAAGTTCACCAGCGAATGCCATGTTGCTTCATCTGTAGCACTGTCTTCTCTTGGCGGGGGGACAGCGCCCCCCCGGCTTTCCTGCTGCCTCTCCAGGAACTCCTCAGTCTCCACTGCTGGGTCCTCATCTCCCCCTAGGATGAGAGACCTCTCTCCCCAAGACTAGAGGGCCTCAGGGCTGGATCTTCAGAAGCCTTCCCCTCTTCTCTAGCTGCCCTCACTTTGGAGAAACGTCATCCAGCCTTGTGGCTTTCACTGCCACCCATGGGCTGCTGATGCTCACATTTGTATCTCCTGCTTAGATGTCTGTTCTGAGCTCCAGGCTCACTACCTGACTGCCCACTCGGCGTTTCCATTTGGATAGCTAATACCCTGGGACTTAACATGTCTAAAAGGACTCCTGCTCTGTGCACAGACCTCCTCCTCCCCCTGCACTCTTTCCCATCTTAGCAGATGATCATTCCTTTCTTCCAGTTGCTCAGTCCAAAAATCATGGAGTACTTCTTGATTGCCTTGTTTCTCACATCCCACATTTGATTCCTTCAGAAACCCTGTCAAACTCTTTTTTTTTTTTTTGGTTGTCAAATGATCCTTTATTGAAACATTTTCCTTTGTAGTTAACTAGCTGGGCATTCCACCGCACCACTGTTGATGTCATCTATGATGTCATGAGGGTGGTGGCCATCAACACTGCAGCCCACAGACTGGGCAGTCCCCGGGATTTCTTTAATGGTTCCAGAGAGTTCTCTGGCTAAAGATCGGTGTCACATCCGTCGGGCAATATTGACAATATCGTCAAAAGTGATATTTCCACTGTGCTTAATGTTTTTCTGCTTCTTTCTGTCTCTTGGTGGTTCCTTGAGGGCTTTGATAATCAGGGCAGGGGCAGAAGATACCACTTCAATCTGGGCCTGTCTGTTCTGAATGGTCGGTTTCACTGTAATCCTTAGACCCTTCCAATCACCGGTTGCCTTGGCGATGTCATCACCAACCTTTTTTGGAGACAGACCCAGCGGGCCGATCTTCAGGGCCAGGGCAGACGTGGCACCGACTTCGCCACCGGTGCACCTCAGGTACACGACTTTGATCTTGTTGGGGTCGAACTTAGGCGGCACAGCGGAGGTGGCTGGTGTCGGATGAACCCGGATTCGGGACGACCGAAGAAAGTTCCACCTTTGCCTCCCCGAGCCGAAAGCCAAAAGCAAACTCTTTCTTCACAAGGTATCCAGACTCTGTCCCTTCTCAGCTTCTCCCCTGCCCAATGCCATCTCTCCCTGGATTGTTGGAATAGCCCCTCCCTGGTCTCCCTGCTTCTACTGGTTCTGCTCTAGCAGCCGGATGATCCTGTTCCAGAATGAGCCTCACCATGGCCTGTGAGGTCCTGTGCCATCTGGTCTCTGGTTCTGAGTTCCAACCTCATCTGCGGTCGCTCCCTCCCTCCCTCTGCTCCGGCCACACCCGCCTCTCTGCTGTATCTGGAACTCACTAGGCATGCTTCCACATGATAGTCCCTCTGCCAGGAACACTTTTCTCCCAGATACCCATGTACCCAAGTGGTTTGTCTCATCACTTTTTTTTTTTTAAGATTTATTTATTTGAGAAAGAAAGCATGAATGGGGGGAGAGGGAAAGGGAGAATCTCAAGCAGACTCTAGAGCCCGTGACCCTGAGATCATGACCTGAGCCGAAACCAAGAGTCGGATGCTTAACTGACTGAGCCACCCAGGTGCCCCATGGAGCTAGTTTCTTTTTAATCAACTTAATGCCATATAACTTAGATACAATAAAATGGGATGTGATGGAATGTGGCATATAAATCTGTGTACCTACCACCCCAATTAAGACAGGGAACATTTTTAACATCCTAAGAAGTTCCTTTATGCCTCTCTAGTCAATTTCTAGTTTTTCTCACTTCGAGCAACCACTGGGCTGATTTCTGTCATCATAGAACTTGCTTTAGAACTTCACAGATTGGGGCGCCTGGGTGGCTCAGTTGTTAAGCGTCTGCCTTCAGCTCAGGTCATGATCCCGGGGTCCTGGGATCTAGCCCCGCATCGGGCTCTCTGCTCTGCGGGGAAGCCAGCTTCTCCCTCTCCCACTCCCCCTGCTTGTGTTCCCTCTCTCGCTATGTCTCTCTCTGTCAAATAAATAAAAGCTTTAAAAAAAAAAAAAAAACAACTTCACAGATTGTGTGTCAACTACACTTCAATTAAAAAGAAAAAAATAAAAAAAGAGGGGCGCCTGGGTGGTTCAGTCGGTTAAGCAGCTGCCTTTGGCTCAGGTCATGACCCCAGGGTCCTGGGATCGAGCCCCGCATCGGGCTCCCTGCTCAGCAGGAAGCCTGCTTCTCCCTCTCCCTCTGCCTGCCACTCCCCCTGCTTGTGCTCGCTCGCTGTCTGTCAAATAAATAATAAAATCTTAAAAAAAAAGAAAGAAAACAAAATTCATGAAATTCAACCATATTATATGTACCATTTTTCATCTGGCTTTTTAAAAATTTTCATTGAACTAAATGTCTCCGAGATTCTTCCATATCACATGTGTATTAGCAGTTTATTCATTTTTATTGCTCTGTGTTACTCCTTGTATGAACATACCACTGTTTGTATATTCGTCTACCTGTCATTGGGCATTTGAGTAGCTTCTAGTTTTTAGCTTTTATGAGTAAAGCTGCTGTGGTCATTTGTGTACAAGCCTTTCTGTGGACATATATTTTATTTCTCTTGGGCAAACAGCTAGTAGTGGAACGGCTGGTGGCTCATATGACAGGTATATTTAACTTTGTAAAAAAACTCTGAAACTTCTAAAGTGGCTGATCCATTTTACATTCCCACTAACAATGTGCAAGAGTTGTGTTTGCTCCAGATCTTTGCCAACACTTGGTATTGTCAGTCTTTTTAATCTTAGCCCTTCTAATGGTATGGTGCTGACTCACGATGTCTTTCATTTGGATTTTCCCAATGGCTATGATGGTGAGCATATTTTCATATGCTTTTCGTCATTTTTATATCTCATTTTATGAAAGACTAAGTCCCTTGCCCATTTTTTACTGGGTTGGTTGATCTCTTGTTTTTGAGCTATAAGAATTCTTTCTATATTCTAGATATAAGACCTTATCATGTATGTGTTATATGTGTATATGCTTATGTTACCATGTATGTGTTGTGTATTGCTATATTTGTATGTCTATATGTATTATGTCTGCATTACCATATATATAGGGCTTGCTGTCTGTGGCTTGCTGTCTCAAGGATCCCCAGGGCCACCGTCAGGCTTGATGTTCCACTAGAAGGGCTCTCACAGGACTCAGAAGTTACTGTCTCATGGTTAGTGCCTATTACACCAAAAGAATGCACAGTAAAATCAGCACAAGGAAAGGTGCATGGGGCAAAGTCTAGAAGAAACCATGCACAACCTTCCACGTGTCCCCTCCCAGTGGAGTGGCAAGGCATGTACCTAATTTCCCGGGCAGTAATGTGTAACATGTGCAAAGTGTCACCAACCATGGAAACTTACCCAAGTCTAGGTGTCCAGTGTTTTTTTTACCAGAGGTCAGCCATGTAGGCATATGGTGCTGCATGGCTGACCTCAGTTACTAAAGCTCCAGACCCCCAGATGGGAAGTAAGTGTTCACCATGAATCACACTGTTAGTGTAAGCTATCTGGACAATCTGGCACAGGGTGGCTCAAGGCCTCAGGCTTGCAAAAACACTCTTCTCATCCAACAGAACATTCTAGGAACTCAGTGCCCAGGAGCTATCCAGGGGCCAGTTCTGAAAATATGCCTTTCTTGGGAATGTGCAGGGCATGAGCAAACCAGGCATGTAGAGTTAACCCTTTCCTACATGCTTGCCTTTTTATTTTCTTAATGATGTCTTTTACAGAGCAGACATTTTTTAATTTTGGTGAAGTCTAATTTACCAACTTTTAGTTAGTGATTTTTGTGTCCTAGTTAAGAATTCTTTGCCCACCACAAGGTCACAGGGATTTCCTCCAATAATTTCTTCTGAAGACTTTATATTTTTAGCTTTTGTCTTTACATCTACAATATAATTCAAATTAATTTCTTGTATATAGTGAAGTAGAGGGCAAGAGTAGTTTTTTCCCCTGACAGTTGTATCAGTAAGTATCCAACCAGGAGACAGAAACTGCACAGTGAGATGAACAGGGAAAATGTAGTATGAAGAATTTTAACTATGGCATGGGATTGGAGTATTAAGTTTAGTAAGAAATCAGGAGACTCTCACATCCTATGACCTTGCTTAGTTTATTTATTTTTAAAGGCGTGTTATGGCTTCCTTAGGTTTTTCTATGGAGAAAATCATGTTGACTGCAAATACAGTTTTACTTCTTCCTTTTTACTATTTATGCTTTTTATTTAGTTTTTCATGTTTTATTTCACTGACTAGGACCTCAAGTACAATGTAAAATAGAAATGGTGAGAACAGACATCCTTGCCTAGTTCCCAATATCAGGGTTAAAACATTGACTGTGTCATTATTTATTATGTTGTGAGTTGTAGGTACTTTTTGTGGATGCCATTTATCAACTGAATAAGTTCATTACTGGTATGCTGAGCATTTTAATCATGAAGTAGTGTAGAATTTTATCTAATGATTTTCTGCATCTATTAGGATATGATTTTCCCCTTCATTCTCTTAATACGATCTTAATGTGATTAGTTACATAAAATTCCTAATCTTAAACCAGCATTTTTTTTTCTGGGATAAACTCCACTGGAAGATATACACACACCTGCATACTTATATATACATATACTTTTGATTTGCTGATATGTGGTGAGGATTTTTGTATCTATGTTCCTGGTGTTGGTCTTTAATTGTCTTGTAATGATTTGTCAAGTTTGAATAGCAAGGTTGTGTTGGCCTCATGAAATGAGTTAGGAAGTATTCCCTTCTTTTCGATTTTCTGATGGAGTTTCTGTATTTTGCCTTTAAGTGTTCGATAGCATTCATTCATCATTGAAAACCATCGGGGCCTGGAATTTTCTTTATGGGAGGAGCTGGTCCTGAGAGAGAAGGGATCTATGCTGTCAGTGCGTCAGATGTCAGAAAAGACAAGAAAGCCAAGGAAAAAGCCCCACTCTTTCTTCATGGTATGGAGCCCCAGGGGCACAAGTGATCGTGTCCTTTGTGCCCCTGTTGGGGTGCCAGGGGAGAGGTGAGCGGTCCTCTCCTGGACAGTTCTGAGCCCACAGGAGCAGGCACTCACGTGTCCTCTCTCTCTCTCTCTCTGCAGCTTTTCCTGGAAAAGAGGACATGGCCAAGGCACAGGTGACACTGAGGACTTTGCTTTCTGTGCAGGTGGGAGTCAGGGAGGGTGTGTTTATTCTTTCTGACCTTTGCATGTTTATTTATTAGGGTCATAATGTTTATTTAAAGCCCACTTCGGGGCACCTGGGTGGCTCAGTTGGTTAAGTGACTGCCTTCCGCTCAGGTCATGATCCTGGAGTCCTGGGATCGAGTTCCGCATTGGGCTCCCTGCTCGGCGGGGAGTCTGCTTCTCTCTCTGACCCTCCCCCTCTCATGCTCTCTGTCTCCCATTCTCTCTCTCAGATAAATAAATAAAACCTTTAAAAAAAAATAAAGCCCACTTCTGTGAATTTTTTAAGTGATTAAATTTTTAAATAAGTAATACATGCACATAATTGAGAATTCAAACATACAAAAGGGTGAACAGAGAAATGCAAGTCTTCTACTTCTGCCCCCAGCCCCTCAGTTGTCCTCTGCAGACAACCTCCTGTGTATTCTTTTAGGGATAATTTATACATATGCAACTGTCTGAATTTGTATCCTTCACCCATTTCTTTTTCACCCAAGTGGTAGAATGCTACACACACAGGTTATCACTTTGCTTTTTTCTATTGTGGCAAGATATGTATAACATAAAATTTGCCATTTTAACCATTTTTTAACATACACTCCATTGTGAATTACATTCACAGTATTGTACACTTGTCACCAATTATCACCACCCAGTTACCATCAAGCCAAACAGAAACTATATAAACTAAGAAATAGGGGCGCCTGGGTGGCTCAGTCTGTTAAGTGTCCAACTCTTGGTTTTGGCTCAGGTCATGATCTCAGGGTCATGGGATCGAGCCCTGCATTGGGCTCTGCGTTTAGCATGGAGTCTGCTTGAGATTCTTTCGCTCTCCCTCTCCCTCTGCCCCTCCCCCTGCTCCTCTATATAAATAAATAAATAAATAAACAAACAAATAAATAAATAAATAAAATCTTTTAAAAAATAAATAAACTAAGAGATAATTCCTCACTCTTAACATATATGTTGTAGCATGTATCAGACTTTAACTCCTTTTTATGGTGGGATAATATTTCATTGTATGCATATCCCCCATTTGTTTATCCAGTCATCTGTTAATGGACACTTGGAGTGTTTCCACTTGTTAGCTCTTGTGAATAATGGTGTTGTGAACATTGGTGTACAGGTATCTATCAGAGTTCTGTTTTTCATTCTTTGAGGCATATACCTAAGAGTGGAATTGTTGGGGTATATGGTAGTGCCGTGTTTAACTTTTTGAGGAAATCACCAAACTGTTTTCTACAGCAACTGTACCATTATACATTCCCACCAGCTGTGCATAAATGTGTCAGTTTCTCCATGTCTCACCAACACTTGGCATTTTCCATTGCTTTTATTACAACCATCCTGGTAGATGTGAAGTAAAATTTCATTATGGTTTTGATGTGTATTTCCCTAATAACAAATGATGTTGAGCATCTTTTCATGTATTTATTGGCTGTATGTATACATGTACATATACATATATATATTCTTTGGAGAAATGTCTATTTAAGTCTTTTGTCCATTTCTATTTTTATTTAAAGATTTTATTTATTTGAGAGAGAGGGAGCATGAGCAGGGGGAGGGGCAGAGGGAGAGATAGAATCCCAAGTAGACTCCACGCTGAGGACCCTGAGATCATGACCTGAGTCAAAATCAAGAGTCAGATGCTTAACCAACTGAGCCACACAGGTGCTCCTGTCCATTTTTATGTTGTATTTTTGTTTTTTGTTTTTTTTGGTGGTTGTTAATTTGTATGTGTTCTTTATTTATTGTGGATATTAAGCACTTACTAGATATATGATTTGCAAATATTTTCTCCCATTCTGTGGATTGCCATTTTGCTCTCCTGATAGTATGCTTTGATGAACAAAACTTTTAAGTTTTGGTGAAGTCCAATTTATTTATTTTTTTAAATTTTATTTCCTGTGCTTCTGATGTTATATTTAAGGAACCATTTGTCAGATCCACAGTCATGAAGATTTGCCTCTATGTTTTTTCTGAATTTTATCATTTTCACTCTTAAATTTATGTCTTTCATTTGCTTTATGTTAATATTTGTGTATGGTGTAAGGTAAGGGTCTATATTCATTCTTTTGCACATGGATATCCAGTTTATCCTGCACTGCCTATTGCTCCATTGAATAGTCTTGGCACCTTTCTCAAAAATCAATTGGCCAGAAAGGTGAGAGTTTATTTCTGGGCTCTCAGTGCCATTCTATTGGTCTAAATGTCTGTCCTTATGCCAGTACCACACTGTTTTGATCCCTATAGTTGTGCAGTACTTTTCTAATTCAGGAAGTGTGAGTCCTCCAACTTTGTTTTTCTTTTTCAAGGTTGTTTTAGCTATTCTGGTTTCTTTGAAATTCTGTATGAATTTTAGGATAGGTTTTTCCATTTTTGCAAAAACACCATGGGGATTTTGATAGGGATTGCATTGAATCTTATATTGCTTTGGGTAATATAGACATCTTAGTGATATTAAATCTTCCAGTCCATGAGAACAGGATGTCTTTCCATTTCTTTTGGTCTTCTTTAATTTCTTTCAACAGTGCTTTGTAGTTTTCAGTGTACAAGTCTTACACCTCCTTGGTTAAATTTATTCCTAAGTATTTTATTCCTTGATGCTATTGTAAATGGAATCATGTTCTTAATTTCTTTTTGGTATTTTTCATTAGTGGTATGTTGAAATACAACCAATTTTTCTTTTTTAGAAAGTTAACTTATTTAGGGGCAGGCACCTAGATAGCTCAGTCGGTTAAGCAGCCAACTCTTGATTTCGGCTCAGGTCATGATCTCAGGATCTTGGGATTGAGCCCAGCACCAGGCTCCAGGCTCAGCCAGGAGTCTGCTTGAAGATTCTCTCCCTCTCTCTCTGTCCCTCCCCACCCCCACCCACACTCGCATGCATGTATGTGTGCTCTCTCTCTCTCTCAAATGAATTTTAAAAATTAAAAAAAAGAAAGCTAATTTAGTTAAACTAAAACAAAACAAACAAACAAAAAATAGTTCACCCATTTCTCCCACTCCTCACTCCCCCACCTCTGGCAACCACTGACCTATTCTCTGTATCTCTGAGCTTGGTGCTGTTTGTTTATTTATTTATTTATTTATTTTCCACATATGAGACAGATATTTGGTATTTGTCTCTGCCAGACTTATTTCACCTACCGTAATTCCCTCAAGGTCCATCCATTTTGTCACAAATGGCATTGTGTGGGGATGGCTGAGTAATACTCCGTTGTATGTATACACCACACCTTTATTCATTCACCTATTAATGGACACTTGTATTGCTTACATATCTTGGCTACTGTAAATAATGCTGCAGTGGACACAGGGGTATGGATATCTTTTTGAGCTAGTGTTTTTGTTTTCTTTGTATAACTACCCAGAAGTGGGATCGCTGGATCCTATGGTAGTTCTCCTTTTAAGTTTCTGAGGACCCTCCATACTGTTTTCCACAGAGGCTGCACCAATTTACATTCCCACCAACAGTGTGTGAGGGTTTCCCTTTTTACTACATCCTCGCCCACACTCGTTATTTCTAGTCTTTCTGATAATAGCCATTCTAACAGGTGTGAGGTGATATCTCCTTGTGGTTTTGATTTGCATTTCCCTGGTGATTAATGATGTAGAGCATCTTTTCATGTGTCTGTTGGCCATCTGTATGTTTTTGGAAAAATGTCTACTTAGATCATCTACCCATGTTTTAATCTGATTATTTGTTTGTTTGTTTGTTTTTACTGTTGAATTGTAGGAGTTCTTTATATATTTTGGATTAATGCCCCTTATCAAATATATATTTGCAAATATTTTCTCCCATTCAGTAGGTTGCCTTTTTATTTTGTTGATGGTTTCCTTTGCTATACAGAAGCTCTTTACTTTGATGTAGTCCCACCTGTTTATTTTTGCTTTTGTAGTTTTTGCTTTTGGTGTCAGATTCAAATGTTTTCTTGTAGGAGTTTTAGGGTTTCAGGTGTTAATTCAAGTCTTTAATCCATTTTAAGTTAACTTTTGTGTATGATGTAAGATAGTGGTCCTATTTCATTCTTTTTGTGTGGCTGTCCAATTTTCCCAGCACCGTTTATTAAAGACTGTCCTTTCCCCCATTGTATTTTCTTGGTTACTCTGTCATAAATTAATTGACCACATATGCATGGGCTTATTTCTGTGCTCTCTAGTCTGTTCCACTGATCTTTGTGTCTGTTTTTATGCCGATACCATACTGTTTTAATTACTGTAGCTTTGTAATATAGTTTGAAATCAAGGAATACGATGCCTCCAGCCTTGTTCTTTCTCAGTATTGCTTTGGCTATTTGGGGTCTTTTATGGTGTCATAGAAATTTTAGGATTAGTCTATTTCTGTGAAAACAGAATTGTCACATTGTAATTTTGGTAGGGATTGCATTGAATCTGTATATTGCTTTGGGTAATATGGACATTTTAACAATATTAATTCTTCCAGTCTATGAGCACAAAATATCTTTCCTTTTATTTGTGTCTTCTTTAATTTCTTTCCTTAATGTCTTGTAGTTTTCAATACACACATCTTTCACCTTGTTGGTTAAATGGATTCCTAGATGTTTTATTCTTTTTGATGTAATTGTACATGGGCTTGTTTTCTTAATTTCTCTTTCTGATAGTACATTATTAGTGTATAGAAACACAAGAGATTTTTTTGTGTTGATCATGCATCTTTACGGAATTTGTTTATTAATTCTAACAGTTTTTTTGATGGCATCCTCAGGGTTTTCTATATATAATATCATGTCATTTACAAATAGCAACAGTTTTATTCCTTCTATTCCAGTTTGGATGCCTTTTATTTCTTTTTCTTGCCCAGTTTTTCTGGCTAGGACTTCCAGGACTGTGTTGAATAAAGTGGCAAGAATGGGCATCCTTCTCTTGTTCCTGATCTTAGAGGAAAGGCTCTCAGCTTTTCACCATTAAGTATGATGTTCCCTCTATACCAATTTGTTGAGAATTTGTATCATGA